CCTTTCGGTATGACGGGTACGTCGGGCCCTTAGGGTCCCGTCTGAAGCTGTGTGAGCTTCAACTTCAAATTCACTCTCGGTATCATGGTCCGACTGAACTTGAGGGTCGTCTAGGGGACGCCTCTCTTCAGGAGTCGGTACAGACTTTGATGCCATCTCAGAAGTACTATCCCCACAGACGGCGCCAAATGTTTCGAGGTTTTCTGATGTCCTGCGGGAGAGTTACAATTCCGAGACTGGAACCGGACGCCTGTACCTGCAAAATAACGGAGACTCCTGGGAGCTCCGCCTCCAACAGTCAAGTTAGTACTTGATTAAGGAGTAATTAATGCGGAAATTAAAGTGATTAGGTCTCTCTAGGTGAGAGTGTTTAATGTAGGTAATCTGCTTTGTTAGCGAGATCAGCCGGTTATTACTGTGTGTAATTAATGTGTTTTTTCGTTCTCTCCCTTAATGAGGATTAAGGGAGGTATTTATAACCTTGGGAAACGTGCCCATCCTAGGTTTAGGTTAACCTAGGGCCGATTGGGCTTCCCTCGGAAGTTGGGCCTGGGTGGCCGGTTTCTCCATTAGGCATGGAGTATGCCACATGTCATGACATAATAGGTCCAAGGTGGACGAATAAGCACGTGCCACGTGGCAAGCCCTGACAGTTCCAACTGGGGGACACTTGGCAGGACCTGATTGGCCCACGTGGCGCATTCCGATTGGGAGGAGCAAAATCCCCTAATCAGATACCCCAGACGGTATCTATAGAAAGCAATTTATGAAGATGGCCCAAAGATACCCCAGACGTTATCTATAGAGTGCCTTTTTTGAAAATTGCTCCAAGATACCCCAGACGGTATCTATGGGGCGCATTTTTTGAAGATTGCTCCAAGATACCCCAGACGGTATAAGATCGTTTGAGGGTCCATAAGATGCAGTTTTTAAGGAAAATTGCTCAAAAGTACCCCAGACGGCACAAGGCCGGCTGAGGGTCTTATGAATGCAAATCAAGAAAGAAATTGCTTGAAGATGCCCCAGGCAGTATAAAGACCGGTTGTGGGTCTATAGAAAGCAAATTATGAAGAAGATTGCTCAAAAATGCCCAGACAGAATATTTCCGGCTATGGGTCTATTGAATGCAATTTTTTAAGACAATTGTTTGAAGATGCCCCAAACGGAATATTTTCGGCTGTGGGTCTGTTGAATGCAAGTTTTGAAGACAAATTGTTTGAAGACGCCCCAGACGGTATATTACCGGCTATGGGTCTATTGAATGCAAATAGTGAAAGAAATTGCTTATAAGTGACTCAGACGGTGTAAGACCGGCTGTGGTTCTATTGAAATCAAGAAAAGGAAATTGACTAAGTCAGACGGTACCTTGGAGAGGATCAAAGAATTACTCAACCGGTATCCGGACGTGCCTAAAACAAAGTAGCTGGTTGAACGCAAGAGCAGCCGGTGTCAGAGCAGTACGGAATGAGAGGAGGAAGCCTCCCATTTATAGGAGGGGGGCAGAAGGCAAACCGTCACCTCCCCATCCAATTCAAATTCGAAATTCAAATTCTAAAAAAAATGGAGGGAAGGAGACGAATCGTCACCTTCCCACAATGTGACACGTGTCACAGACGCCACGTGGTAAGCCACATCACACCTGTGAGGGGTAAATGTTTGGGGTAAAAAACCCCTATGCCACGTGCCCAATACCACACTGACACGTGGCAGCTCATGAAAAGCCCAATGGGATCCAATTAGATGCTGACACGTGGCATTGTAACCCTAATGGGGGAGTAGATCTTCACCTTCTATAAATAGAGGAAACTCCTCATTTATTATTCATTCACAAACAGTCACAAACACTCATTGAATACACATTCAATACAAACACAAAAAACCGAGCAATATTAATTGCGGAATCTCTCTGAATCAGAGAGAAAAACCCATTTACTTTCCGCACTTTTCTACATCCGGAGACATACTTACTTAATCGTCGGAGGCGGAACTCCACCCAACCGGAGTTTCGTGGTTTTGCAGGTATAGACGGTCGGTGTGCATTCCCAGAATTGTAACTCTCCCGAGGGACTCCAAAAAACCCCGAAACAACTATAATTTAAACATACAGTGCAATGAAGGGAAAGCAAATGTTGTTTCGAATGCCTTGAGTCGGAAATCAAGTCATGTTGTGAATGCTTTAATCGTGCCCGACAAGTTATGGGAAGATATGAAGCGTTTGAACTTAGAGGTTGTAAACTATGGTGAATTAGAAGTAAGGTTGAGTGCTCTTTCACTTGGGAGTCATTGTTGAATGAAATAAAAGAGAGTCGGATAGGTGATGAAGGAATTCAGTCGAGTAAGAAGAAAATGAGCCAAGGGAAGAATGTAGATTTCAGGATCCATGATGATGGAAGTTTGAGTTACAAAGAAAGATGATGTATACCAGAAAGTATGAGGATTTAAAGAGAAAAATCATGGAAGCATAATACTCCATATTCTGTACATCCAAGAGGGGACAAGTTGTACAAAGATTTGAAAGAGTTGTATTGGTGGCCAAATATGAAGAGAGAAGTAGCTGAGTTTGTGAGTAAATGCTTGACTTGTCAAAAGGTCAAAATTGATCACAAGATACCTATGGGAAAGGTTCAACCTTTGGAGATTCCAAGTTGGAAATGGATTCAATTTCCATGGATTTTGTCATGGGATTGCCTAGAACCAAAAGTGGCAATGATACAATTTGGGTGATTGTAGATCGACTTACAAAGTCTGCGATTTTTATTCCAATAAAGGAAACTTGGAAGAAGAAACAATTGGCAAAGATCTATGTGAAGAATATAGTTCGAGTACATGGAGTACCTAAAGATATCATCTCCAACCGAGATTCAAGGTTCATGTCCAAATTTTGGCAAAAGGTTCAAGCTAACTTGGGAACAACATTGAAAATGAGTATTGCGTTCCACCCAGCAACGGATGGACGGACTGAACGATAAATCAAACCATGGAAGATATGCTAAGAGCGTATGCCTTGGATTTTCAAGGTACTTGGGAGGATTATTTTGATTTGATTGCGTTTTCTTATAATAATAACTATCACGCTAGCATTAGCATGGCACCTTTTGAAGCATTATATTGTCGAAAGTGTTGAAGTCATGTGTGTTGGAATGACTATAGTGAGAATCTAGTCTTGGGAACCGAGTTTATTGAGGAAATGGTAAATAAGGTGAAGTTGATTCGTTCGAGAATTCAAGCTACACAAGATAGGCAGAAAAGCTATGCTTATTTGAAAAGGCGAGATGATGAGTTTAATGTGGGTGATAAAGTCTTTTTAAAAGTCTCACCTACGAAGGGAGTGACGAGATTTGGAAAAAAGGGCAAATTGAGTGCCAAGTATGTGGATCCCTATGAAATTCTGCAACGTGTAGACACGGTTGCTTACAAATTGGCATTACCTACGAAATCTAAGAACTATATCAATACCAACAAAGCTTAAATGGTTATAATTGACACGAAAGTACATAGGTAAGCATCGAATACAAGTCTTAATTACTCCATAATAATTTTAATTACTAAGCAAAGTTAACTAACCCTAGACGTGATGTTTTAGAGAAAATCTCGATCCAAAGTGTCTTGTGCCTATTTCGACTTTAAGTGACTCTTATTGATATCTTTTAAAGTGCTAATCTTCATATAATTTAGGTATTGGTGTATGGACTGAGAACTATATCAATACCAACAAAACTTAAATGGTTATAATTGACACGAAATTACATAGGTAAGCATCGAATACAAGTCTTAATTACTCCATACTAATTTTAATTACTAAGCAAAGTTAACTAACCCTAGACGTGATGTTTTAGAGAAAATCTCGATCCAAAGTGTCTTGTGCCTATTTCGACTTTAAGTGACTCTTATTGATATCTTTTAAAGTGCTAATCTTCATATAATTTAGGTATTGGTGTATGGACTGAGAACTATATCAATACCAACAAAACTTAAATGGTTATAATTGACACGAAATTACATAGGTAAGCATCGAATACAAGTCTTAATTACTCCATACTAATTTTAATTACTAAGCAAAGTTAACTAACCCTAGACGTGATGTTTTAGAGAAAATCTCGATCCAAAGTGTCTTGTGCCTATTTCGACTTTAAGTGACTCTTATTGATATCTTTTAAAGTGCTAATCTTCATATAATTTAGGTATTGGTGTATGGACTGAGAACTATATCAATACCAACAAAACTTAAATGGTTATAATTGACACGAAATTACATAGGTAAGCATCGAATACAAGTCTTAATTACTCCATACTAATTTTAATTACTAAGCAAAGTTAACTAACCTTAGATATTTTGTACTTTCAATAAACAATGGTACCATCTTAAGGGTAAACTATAATAGCTCCAAATTGAACCAAAAATCTTATTCCCAAAGTAATTTGGCCATTGGGGAATGAGTGAATAGTAACATAAGAACATCAATATCAATCTGAACCCATAAGATATTCCTACTTTCTCCATTTCAATCTCCACATACTTTCTTGTGTTTCAACCAACAATCAAATATAACCAATTTCCCCACTTCTAAAAATCAAATTCATCTCACCAAAATAAAATGACAATCCTAAATTATGTGACAATATATTCAAGCGCAACACCAATGTCACAAGACTCACCAACACCATCATCACCCAACACTATACCATCAACTCCGCCGGCGCGGCCGCCTACCAAAATCTTACTTCCGAACAAGAAGCCAATTAAATGGAGCACCGGCGTTGCGCCGGGTGAATACGGTGGCCCGCCCACCACCACCAAGCTCCGGAAGTATTGGGGCGGAGAAAAGGAAGATCCTATTACATCATCTGACTTAATTTGGAACAGAGATTTTATGCCTCAGATGGAAAAGCTTGTTCAAGATCAATCTCAAGCTGATGATTCTTCTTTATTTCCTTCTCCTCCTATTGAGGTAATTTACTTGATTAGTAGTATTACTTTGTTGATTGAATTTAAATGGGAAGTAATTAATAAAGTCATCGTTCTGAAATTGGTGGTATTGAAATCTATTGATTTCTTAATCAGCAATAAATATGGTTTGAGTAGTTTAGGTGTTGTTTGGCATATGACAATGCTTTTGATTTATGGTTTAAGGAGTATTACGGTTTATTTTCTGAATTTTTAAAACAAGAAAGTTTATAGTGATATGAAACGTGCCCTTAGTTTGTGATCGGGTTTTGGGATTTGAGATAAGGTTAGGGAGATGACGGGGGGACTCGGGGTTCTTGTTTTTGAAGAAAGGTGATGTTGTTGTAAGCTTTACGAATCGTATTGAAATGGACCATAAGTGTGGTCATTCCGTCATTGAGAGTTCGCTCCACAATTTCACGTCTTTTTAAGTCCAACTGAACATTTGGACCATGGAATTAATTTACTAGAGTGATAGGGTTTTTAGGGGGCAAAAACTCAAAAATGATAGTATAATTTAGTCTTCTTAATCTTAATGGCTCGACGTAATTAACTAATCAAGATAACTAAATATAAACTGGGATACAATATGAGTGACTTTGGTTTGTGCTTGGACTATCCCATCCATATTTTTGGTTCGATTTATGTGGAGAGCGAATTGGACCTAATCACCGCCCTAAACGTAGCCTAGCTCCATCCTAGGACTTGATTTAGTATGGTTTGACTAAAATATCTCATGAATGATTAGACTTATTTTGGATATGACTTGCCCTAAACCTTAAATTTATTGGCCTTCTATTCAATGATATATGTTGTTTGATGTAAGATTTTCTTTCCACTCTCCTTATATAATGATACCTATAAATTTGAGCTTTTTGGCCTTATAAATTATCGCACATTACCGTACCAAAACAACATTTCTCACATGATGTACTTCATTAGTTAATTAAATCAAAAATAAAATACAAATATTGAGAGTGGTATTAATTAATGGTCAATTAAACGGACAGTTACGGAGTACAATTTAAGGAGCCATCATTTTCCAATCAAAAATCGGAGCGTCTGTATATGAGCCGTTTAACATCCAACGGCCCACATTCATATAGGAGCGGACTTATAACGTTTGAATCCCTTCTCCAACGGTCGAAAATATTATAAACCTCAACGCAATTTTCTATCTTCTTCATCAAAATTTCTCTTAATTCCCAATTCATCTTTTCAAGAATCACATCAAATTCACATCTCTCTTTCTTTCTCTCTCTTCAAATTCTTTGTAAATCTTCAAATTCGAAATCGAAAATGAACGTTTTACAGCAATACCCAGAAACAATGAACTCACAAGATCTTCAAATATGGAATAATGCAGCATTTGATAACGGAGAATCAGAAAATTCTGCAAATGTGAAGTTTTCTTGGTCAGGTTTGAATCCATTATCATCAATCAATCTTTCTCAATCGATCGGATCCGATTCGACTAAAGAGAATCGGACCCCTTTAATGGCGGAATCCCCAGTTTCTTTGAAATCTTTATCTGAGGGTAAGCCTTTGCAAGATAACATAGTAATTAGAAATGCTCAAAACATCCCAATTTGTAAGATGGGTGTTTTAGAAAAGGGGAATCAACTCGAGGAAAAGGATATCGATTTCGAGATTGAGGAGATTGAGAAGGAGATTAATCGGTTGTCGTCGAGGTTAGAGTCGCTTCGTATCGAAAAGGCAAAACAAAATGCCAAGATGATGGAGAAAAAAGGGAGAATTGTTGCTGCTAAGTTCATGGATCCGCCAAAACAGAGTACTAGAAGCTCTAATGAACAGAACAAGTTTGAAGATTCAATGAGTTTGAGTGCTAAATTGAAGACACCGAGAAGGGGGTTAAGTATGGGGCCGGCAGAGATTATGAGGAGTGTGAGAAGGGGCATTAGTCTCGGGCCGGTGGAAATTTACTTGGGGACGAAGTTGAAGCATTTTGGAAAGCAAGATGCTATCACCCCTGGTCAGCAGAGTGCAAACAGGAGAAAATCTTGTTATTGGAAGTTACATGATGTTGATGAGTTGAGGGTTACTAAAGAGAGAGGGAAAAGTATGAGCTTAAGCCCAAAAGCTCGGTCGACAACTGCTGTTAAAGCACAAGTGCCAAAGCCTGCTGCAACTACAATTGGGTCTAAGAAGACAGCAAAGAAAGAAGATGCTGTTATTTCTTCAATTCAACCAAAGAAGCTGTTTGCTAAAGATGGTGAGAAATCGGGTCCGGCCAAGAAGCCAATTAAGAGTGGTAGAGTGGTTCCTAGTAGGTATAATCAGGTCTCAAATGGGGGGAATTCGGCGGTGAAAGAACTTAGGAAGAGGTCATTGTCTGAAAATGAAGAGGATTATAATAGGTCTGATAAGAAACGTGTTTCGTTAACAGAAAAAACTTCAGGAGGAGAGCAATTAGCAACAGAAAGTAGAGTGAAAAAGCGGTGGGAAATTCCTAGTGATGTGGTAATTCAAACAAATGTTGATCACAAGACTCCTTCGTCCGTGTCGAAAATGGTTGATATGGTTCCGAAAATTAAGAATCTGCGTTGCAAAAACGAGAGTCCTAGAGACTCCGGCCCAGCAAAAAGGGTAGCTGAGTTAGTTGGTAGGAAATCCTTCTTCAGTACTGAGGATGGGGTTGATGAGGAAGCTGAAGAGTCTGTTTGTCAGGCTCTGAGTTTTGCTGAAGAGCAGGTCGTCCAAGAGTGTCCGAAAATTAGGATTATTCGACATGTTAATGAGAGTCCGCGAGATTCAGGTGCTGTGAAAAGAGTGTCTCAATTAGTTGGAAGGAAGTCATTCTTCCACAATGATGAAGATGAGATGCCAGTGTTTAGTTTCGAAGAGGATGATAGTGATGAAAATTGAAACAATGGAGATAGAATAAACTTTTTTATCTAATCATTTTGTTTGAATTTAGATGTCATTGTTGATATATATAAGCAGTAGCAAGCTTGTGCTTAGTGCTTACCTCTAATCAGTTTTACTTGTCTACTGCTGTTGTAGTTTGGCTTATCTTGGGTTATGAGAGTAGAATGATATTGGATTATGTGCTTGGAAGTTGGAAGTAAGCTTGCTTTTGCTGCTTGCAACTCAGTTGTAAAATGAATTGTGTGAATTTTTGGTCAAATAAATATTTTTTGTTGGTGAAGTGGGCATATAATTTGTTGGCTTATGTCACTTGGTTAATTGATTTGTCTAATGTTTCTACGTTAGTTAAGTTCTTAAGCTTTTGTTACTTGAAATTATCTGCTTAATCTAGCATTGCTAGTGAAAGCTTTTATGTTTCTTTCAACTGGTGAAACTAGATGTCACCAGTCTTGGTACAATTAGGAACAGACCTTTTGTTGCCCTGCAGTCACCTTATTTAGTCAGTTTTTCAAATACCGGACTCAAAATCGCCCAATATTTGCATGTATCCACTCCAACTCATTCTACAGCTATAATAAAACTACGCAAAATGAGATTATTTTTCATGTATATTTAGTACTGCTGCTGACTAGTATCATGAAAACAATTACATAACTGCTGATTCTTGAACAGGAGTCCTCTGGATTTCTAAGCCTGAATAGAGTCATGAGTCTTGACAGGTATGCTATGCCTCGCAGCAATTCTTCAATCTTTATATGAGTTCTGCTTAGCCAATATTGATGGGTAAGGATACTGACTTCTGGTGAATGTGTTACAGTTTAGAAGTTGATCTCAGCACTTCTCTTAAAGCAACTCCAAAACCAGCAGTAGAACAGTCAACTGCAAAAGCCAAAGTATGCTTATTGACATTAAATATTACTGTTTACCTTCTTAAAATCACTGCTTACATAGATCGCCATATGACCCCATCACCAGAATACGCAAGTCCCTACTCAAAGATGGAAACTGGCACCCACTAAGCGAGAGCAGGAGAAATGGGATAAAGCAACTAAGGCTGCAACTGGAGGCAGTGTAAGTGTCACTTGTCTGACCTAATTGTTCTGCATTATTGTTCCAGATACCATTGATATCCTTAATAATTCATAGACTATGTTAATGTGTGGAGTGCTTAACTTTTCATTGTGTTGTAGGATGTGATGCTTCGTGAAATAAGGCAGCCTCGGGGGGATCCAGAAGTTCTAGCTGCCCAATCAAGAGAGCAGTATTATAAGGTTGAGTTGTTACAGCTTAGTTTCACTTGTTGACTAGACCTGTCACATTGCGGTTCCCTATCAGTAAATCTTTTTTTCTTTGCTTTCATGCTTCTGGTGACATTATGAGTTCCTCACTGAAGCTATCACTTCTGCAGTTGAAGAACAAACTGCAACTGCTAACAGTGGGAATTGGTTGTGTTGGATTAGTTTCATCTTATGTTTCTTACTCTCCAGAAATCGCTCTAAGGTTAAGTATCATTTAGTTTTAAACTCCAATCTCTGTCCTTTAGTGGTTACTTTGTGGTGATAAAGGCTGGGATCAGTCGAGCACAAAGATATTGAGGCCTTTAACTATCCGCCCGGGGGGGGGGGGGGGGTGTGTGGGGGTGTGGTATGTGGGGTTGGTACACATTAATGCTCAAACAATATGGACAGTTAACTGATTGTGACATGAACTTCCATGATTTGATATACTATGTGCTAGAATTTATCCTCTCGGTGATTATTTCAAAAAATCACGTTATTCACAGCCATACATTGCAGCTGAAAATACTTTCCGTAGAATTGTAATGCTACATTTTTACATTCGCAATATTCTGCTATGTTTTGCATTAGAGGAAGTTCCAGCCCTCCTGGCCTCCCGGGTCAAGTCCAATTGTGACTTATGTGATGCTGGCTTCATGGGTTAACTGAACTTTAGATGTGAAGAACCACTGCTAAATTGTTTATATTTTTTTACTTTCAATTACCACTGCTGAGGTTCAACTCTTGGTTTTATAAGTATCTTCTCGAGTAAATTAGGGCTTCAAAATCCCCTTCAAAAACTCTTGAAATCCTTCGATATAAGATGCCTAAAATTTTAATTGGCTTATTGATATCCCTTAATAACTTACAGTTTTGGTGCTGGATTCCTTGGATCATTGGCCTACATACGGATGCTTGGCAACAGTGTAGACTCCATGGCCTCTTCAGGATCTAGGAAAATGATCAAGTATGTGATGCTTTTCTTCTCCAATTTGCCAGCTTTTATTTTTGTTCTGTAGCCCTACATTGCTGTGACTTTTCATGCCTCTACATGATGAAGTCTTCAGACAATCTAAGTGCTTCACTTATGATTTTGGATCTCTGTACTTACTTTTGATGTTCCATTTGAGCATTCAATAACAGGCTAACAGCTATAAATCAGTTATCTGCTTGTAGTACCTTTTGGCTGTAGGCATATTAAAAGGGTAAACAAGTCCAAATTTTTTGTTTTAAAGTTGTAAGGGTGCAGAATGACATAATTTTAAAATTTCAACTATACCAAAAAAATTTGTCCGAGGGAGCCTGTCCCTCAAATATAGACAAAGAGAATTTCAAGATACAGAAATAATAATTTTTATAATACAATCAGACAAACACAATAAGAGGGGAAAGGAGTCATTCTTATCAAAAAGTAATAGGTTTGCATCATTGGGCCTTGATAACACATATTTCTAGTAGATGTTGTGTCCAATGTCCGATATTCAGATGCCAACAATCTGATATCTGCATCTCTCTTCAGTTTTGAGCCCCTAAATATCACTTTTGCATTCCCTACTATTGGCTGTGAAGGGTAGTCCAGTAAGAGGCAGCAATTAGAAACTGATGATTAGCAAATTTTTAATCATAAAACCATCCATGTGATACAAAAGTTGTCCTCATTCTGTCAGTTTATACTACAAATTATCTTCCTTCTGCTCTCATTTTAATAACTATGAATCTATATTATCTGTTTTCCATCTATCATTTGCTTGCAGGGCAGCAGTTGGGCAACCTAGGCTATTGGTTCCAGTTGTGTTAGTCATGATCTATAATCGTTGGAATGGGTAAGTAATAGTCCGTATATGCTTGTGATGTACTGATGTGATAGTGAATGCAACAGGATTATAGTTCCTCCAACAATTATTTTTCCAATTGGTTGCAGGATTGCAGTTCCTCAATATGGACTTATGCACTTGGACTTGATACCAATGCTAGTAGGGTTCTTCACCTACAAAATTGCTACTTTTGTCCAAGCCATTGAGGAAGCGCTGACTATTGTGGGGAAGAACTCAGAGTCGGAGAGTTGAGCTATATTTAGCACACTAGATTTGCAGTATTAATTTTTCAGGTTATTGAGATATCCTTCCACTCTTTTTGATTTGCAAACTTTAGCTTTGCCTATTTATACAAGTTCAAAACCAAACGCAATAATCTTTTTTGATGCTTAATTTGAATTTGCCTTGTTCGAGTATTGTTTTACCATAAAAATGTGAATTCGTTTTTGTGGCAAATGTCGGTCCTAATTCAATAACTTGCATTTTCCTTGATGGCTTCCAGATTAAAAACAGCAGATTGGAGGGCATTCTCGTTAATCATGAAACATCCACAAGTACGCAACTACAGCACTGATAGTATGAAAAATCCAGTTATTACATTAATTATAATGTAAGGATGTTTGATGTAATGCAGTAAACTTTGTGGAAAGAATGAATAGATTGGTGACAGAAGCCTGCACTCAAAACAACTTCATACATTCCCATCCCCATCACCCCCCCCCCCACCCCCACCTCCCCCTCCCCCAACACACATGAACAATAGCTCAAGAAATCATTGCAACTAAAAAAATTGGGATTATGTATTGAAAATGCCCTTAAAGATTTGTTCAAACCATTTTAGAAGGTCGTGGGGCAACCTCACCCATGGCTGAAGGTCACCGAGATCATTGGAACCCATTCCTTTGGCCATGGCCCAATAACATAGGAGGTGTGTGGATGAGATTATTAGATAACAGATGTTGAAAAGAAAGGATGAGCGATCCACAACTTTGACCCTTAATACCTTCAATTGTATGTGTGTTATAAAAAGTTGATATTATATGATTATACATTATGATTAATCTTATACTCTTGACGTTTCTTTCTATTCGTTACCTTTGTTATCATTCACAAGTATTATAAGAAGTGCAAGTATGCATTAGCATAATTTAATTAAAATAATGTAATTTCTTCTCTTTTTTACTCTTTGCATCTAGAATATACCCTTAATTTTTTTTATATTTTTTTTAACATTAATAAAACAAAAATTAATTATTGACTATCTTTTGGAATGTGTTGGTATTTATATATCAACTAGTTTAACTCCCGTGTTATGAATGGTTTTTTTACTAAATTTTATAATTAATGAATTATATTGCAACAATTATGTACCAAAAAAATATTACCATGTATATTTTTAAAGGAAACAAAATATCTAGAATTTTAATTTGTGCCCATGCTAAAGATGTCGATATTATTGATGCAAAAGACTTGATAAATAAAATAAAATGAAAGAAATTTATGGACTATGAGGTTTTATATTAACCCTTAAAAAAAATGAAAATTTTAGATTACTACCCATACAATACACATACATGAATATACTCTTAGTCCCTAATTTGTTAAGATACTTTGTTCGACACAATGTATTATGCAAATTTATTCAATTTTATTCTACTTTGTGATAATTAATAAACGATATGATTGATATGTTTACTATGTATATATTTTCTTATATTAGGTTTATTTCACAATAATATTAGCCTAAAAAGCAAAATTGACGTGTGAACTTAGAAGGAAAAGGGTAAGCGCATAGTACCTATTGATTTAGAAACCTATAGGATGGCAATATTGCAATTAGTTGGAACTTTGTAACATGCATGTGGGTCATTTAGCTGCCAAGTGTGTAACGTATTGTACATTGTAATGGGAAGTGAAAAATTGAAGCGGGAAAAAGACTCCTTCTAAACTAAATTTTGTCAGTAAAATGTGAAAAAGGAAAATGGAAGAAGCTCTTCAATGGCGATGACGAATGCTCAGCAAATCCATTATTTCGTCATGTAGGGTTTCGTAGTGACCCGACACTACGCGGAAGGAAACCCACCAAGACCCACCCCTTAATTAAAGCAATTAAACAAGCAGAATAAACTTAATCAAACAAGATTAAGGACAAGAATTATACCTATGACGCGTGCTTCGCTCCCAAAGACCTCTTACTTCAAAATCCCGAAAAGACGAGATCTCCGACGGATCGT